AACCCAACCATCCAAACAACCAATAAATAATAAAAACAAAAAGCTGCCAAACAGAATAAACATAACTCTGGGCCGAGGATAGAGGTTCATGCCTGTAATGGCAGCATTCAGAAGGCAGAGGCAGGAGAGATCTCTTACGGAGTTCGAAGCCAGACTAGTTTATGTGAGTGAGTTCCAGGTCAGCCAAGGGCTCCATAGTGAGGCTCTCAAAAAAGAAAAACAGGAAAACCTCACTTACGCACACGCGCACCTATTAATCGTGAGCAATCAACAGACAGGCTGGTGGGTCAGGCCTGTGCTGTGCAGTGAAAAGCTAAGCTATCTGGAAACAAAGGGAGCGCCTTAGGGCGTGGGGTCAATTGGGACAGCGCTATAATTTAAAAGGGGCCAGAGGGAGTCATACCATACAACAGGGCTCACATGTAGGTTTACTGGAAGAAGAGAAAGTGGCCAGAGATCAGTCCCTGGGGACAAGCGGGGTGGGGGGTTGAAAGAGGGGGGAAGTGAGGTGAGCTAAAGAGAGAGAAGGGAGGAGAGAGGCAAGAGATAGACACTGGAGGAGGGCAAAGCCGACCCTTTAAAAGTGAACCAGCGAACGTGCACAGGAGGACCACTCTTAGCGGCTGCAGCTGAGGACCAGCCTCTCAGGACCCCAAGGGCAGGCCAGTATAGCCTGAATATTAACGGGAAGTTTGGGTTTCTAGATAGGAACAGATGTGGGGAGCAAGCCCTCATTTTCCAGGATAAAGAGAGTGAAACTAACCTACTAATTTTTCATTGATCTTTATTTATTTATTTTGGTTTTTCGAGACAGGGTTTCTCTGTGGTTTTGGAGCCTGTCCTGGAACTAGCTCTTGTAGACCAGGCTGGTCTCGAACTCACAGAGATCTGCCTGCCTCTGCCTCCCAAGTGCTGGGATTAAAGGCATGCGCCACCACCGCCCAGCTTCATTGATCTTTATACTCGGCATGAGAGTGCCGACCTTCACACACCACACACATATGCATAATAATAAACAAAACCTTAATAAAAAAACAAATATAGAACTGAGCATATTTGGCTCCCACCTTTAATCCAAGCACTCAGGAGCAAAAGCAGGTGATCTCTGAGATGGAGGCCAGCCAGACCTATATAGGGAGTTCCAGGATATCCAGTGAGACAGTCTGCAAACAACGGAAACAAAAAGAACAAATGCTGGCCAAGAAGGTAGAGGGAAGACGGTTCTCACACAGCACTGATGGAAATACAAACCAGCCTATCTGCTGTGGAAGTCAATACTGCGGTTTATTCGAACTAAGATTCCCACATAGCAGAGCTACCCTGGGTATTTACATGAAGGGTTCCAACCCGTCACAGACACACTTCCACAGTCAGTCGTCTGTTACAGCCCATGCTCAACAGTAAGCTACGGACCTGTCCCCAGTGACAAAACACGGAATGGATGAAGACCGGGTGGTAAAAACCCAGCAGCGGTGGCACACGTCTTTAATCCCAGCAGTCTGAGTTCGAGACCAGCCTGGTCTACAGAGTGAGTTTCGGGAGAGCCAGGGCTGTTACACAAAGAAACTCTGTCTTGAAAAACAAAAACAAGTAACTAAGAAAAGAAAGAAAATGTGGTGTATCTACAATGCAACTGTTTTCAGTCTTAAGAACCAACTTAAGTTGTCTGCCGCAGAAACAGTGCAGATAATCTAAGTAAATTAAGCCTCTCAAACATTTTTTCTTCCTATGCTTCCTAGACTTTACATAGATCCACATATATACATGTATGTAAGACATGACAGAACAAGAGTGGGGATAGAGCTGAGAAAAAGGAGGGTGGGGGAGTATGAGATAGAATGTATGTTAAACATGCAACAAATGCTTATATACACATATTAGCGAGAGAGAGAGACATGGCTGTTGTGTGACAAAACTCTTCCTGGGGAGACAACATCCAACTTCCCACCCCAGACAGGGTCCCAGACAGATGAACACACAAATACCACCAAAGTCCAACTTGTTGAACTAAGAAGGATTTTGTTGTTTTCTGAGACGGGTTCTCTATGTAGCTGTGGCTTTCCTGAGCCAGTATTTTATTGGATGAGAGGTTACTTACAGGAGCAGAAACGACTCAAAGACAGCTGCATCACCATCGACCACCCCAGCATGGGTGACAGCTCACAAAGCCGGGAACCTGGAGCACACTTCACAGCCTACAGGCAGCTCGACAGGCTGAAAAGCGTCCCTTCCAGGAGCCTCAATTGGTCTAAACCTGTTCCAGGTAGCTGTTGGGTCTCCCAGTCTTTGCAGCTGGGCCTGCCTTTGTGTAGGAGGGACTCTCAGCTTGTTTACTCTGCAGGGAGGAGCCTAGTGAGTCTGGTCAGTTTCAGGGACTTCCTGAAGCTGTTTTTTTAAAATATTTATTATTTATTATGTATACAATAGTCTATCTGTGTGTATGCAGAAGGCCAGAAGAGAGCACCAGACCTTATTACAGATGGTTGTGAGCCACCATGTGGTTGCTGGGAATTGAACTCAGGACCTTTGGAAGAGCAGGTAATGCTCTTAACCACTGAGCCATCTCTCCAGCCCCCTGAAGCTGTTTTGAGTTGTTTGCCTTCCTGCTTAAGGAGCTTCCTGCAGGGTTTTGGAAGAAACTGTTGCAAAACAGTGTTGGACTGCTGTAATCCTGGAGTTTGCAGAATGAAGACTGGAAAATTCAGGCAACACAATAAATTTTTCAGGACCCACTGAACTGAGGAGTTCCAGGCTACAGAAGGACACTGTCTTTACCATTTGTTTATTTTGTTTTTTTTTTAAATATTTATTTATTATGTATACAATATTCTGTCTATGTGTATGACTGCAGGCCAGAAGAGGGCACCAAGTCTCATTACAGATGGTTGTGAGCCACCATGTGATTGCTGGGAATTGAACTCAGGACCTTTGGAAGAGCAGGCAATGCTCTTAACCTCTGAGCCATCTCTCCAGCCCTGTTTTTTTTTTTTTTGTTTTTTTTTAAGGTTTATTTATTATGTATACGGTGATCTGCCTGAATGTATCCCTGCAGGCCAGAAGAGGGCACCAAGTCTCATTACAGATGGTTGTGAGCCACCATGTGATTGCTGGGAATTGAACTCAGGACCTCTGGAAGAGCAGTCAGTGCTTTTAACCACTAAGCCATCTCTCCAGCCCCTCTATTTTTTTTAAAAAAAATTATTTAATTTTATGTGCATTGGTGTGAGGATGTCCAATCCTTTGGAACTATAGTCACAGAGAGTCGTGAGCTGCCATGTAGGTGCTAGCAATTGAACCCGGGTCCTCTGAAAGAGCAGCCAACTCTTAACTTTTGAGCCATCTCTCCAGTCCTTGTTTCTTCTAAAAATGGAAAGAAATAATTTGAGACCAGCCCAAACCGTTATGGGTTTGGGACGTTCAGAGATCCACCAGACTGACCACGAATAAATTTTAACAAAAAGGAGGCTTTTATTCAGTATCAGATACTGGCACCAGGTATACATGGGGACTCAGGAGTCCCAAAGGCAGCGCCAAGCCACCTCAGTCAGGGGTTTATAAAGGCAAACAACACAACGTTACATTCCGTCTATGTACAAGCAGAAGGTTATCTTGAGCAAAACAAGCTTCTGTTTAACAGAAGCAGGAATAGCAGATGACCTTATGACCTTGCATAAAACAACAGTTGTGTTAAAATTGTATCAAGACCAGACTATTACAAAAATTAACCTTAAAAGCCTGAACATTGGGAAGTCCTTTTTCACTTTATAGTTCTCTTAAGCACAGTAATTTTAAACTTTTAAACATGAGGTAAACCATCAACAGAACATCAGCCATCACAAGGTTACAAGAGAACCTGTTTCCAAAAGTGTGTGAAGGGAGTGTTGTGGGAGCTGGCAAGACGGCACAGCAGTTCAGAGCACTAACTGCTGTGTCAGAAGACCCAGAGTTCAGTGCCCAGCCCTTGGGCCAGCAGCCTCACAACTGTCTATAAATTTGGCTCAGGGAATCTGATGCCCTCTTCTGCCCTCCCAGAACAGAGTAAAAAATATTTTTTGAGAGCTGGGTGTAGTGGCACACAACTTTAATCCCAGCACCCAGGAGGTAGAGGCAAGAAGATCTCTGTGAGTTTAAGGCCAACTTGGTCTACAGAGCGAGTTCCAGTTTAAAAGGGGAAAATTACAAAGAGCTCCCAGGTCCCATCCAGTCCTAATACGGGGAGAAGTGATTGGGGGCTTTCCATGGTGACACACTTGCAGCCTATCAGGGAGTTCTGTGGCTCAGTGGTTCAGACAGGCTCTGGGCCAACCAATCAGAAGGGGGTGGATTGTGGGTTACACCAGTGTGAGGGGTTTTGGGTGGGGGGACTGCCGTCTAGCCTCAGGAAATTGTGGGTAGCAGCTCAGGGCAGAATGGCAGGCTGGGACGAATGTAGTCTCTGCTGCTAACTAGAATCTAATACACCCACTCCAACCGTGGCTCTAGCACCTCTCTCCCATTCCCTCTGCCTTGCTAAAAACCAGTATCACAACCCTAAAGCTAGCCACCAAGGTCTTGAAAGACCCTCCAAGAGTCCTCTGGGGAGACCCTTCCCAAGGAACAGCGAGACCACTTGTACGGATGCAAACAGCAAGAGGTTTATTCAGATACACAGGTACCTGGGGTGACAAAGTCTCTCGGAGGACTTGTGCACCTCCAGGTCGGGGTAATGGGTTTATATATGTTTTGGGGAGCAAAAAGCGCGGTACAGAAGCAAGAAGCGTAGTTACAGGGTTTTCATTGGTCAGTTTGAATGTGGCCGAGTTCAGGTTGGGACAAGGTCTCTAGTTCCCGAGAATTCAGATATGGGCTGCCTTGGCTCTTATCTAGGGCAGACTTCACCGTTCCTCCCCGCCTGGGACAGACAGCGCCTAGCCACATTCTCGGTATTCCCGTTCCTCCCCCGGCCCAGCCACAGGTGTCTCTAGCTCGTTTTGGCAGCTTCTAAACTGCCCTTTGTTCAAACCCTGAATATTCAGTACAAGCCTTGTAAAATGGCGTTACTGGTGCTAAGTTGTTTAACAAGCTTGGGGGGGGGGGTGTCTTTCAGTCTATTCCCTTATTTGGCCACTTCCTCCTCCTGAGGCCGCCTACCAAGGCCCAGCTATCAAAGTACTGAAGTTCAGCAATCAAAAGCCCCCTTTGGCTCACCTAATTAACACAGTGAAAACTGAATGCCTCTTCCTAACACAGGGTTTCCCAGTTTCCTTTATAAGCCAATGTGCCTATGGGAACGTCTGTGTCCTCTCTATCCAGAGGTAGCCCGCGTCATCCCTCCCTCCCCACCTCAGGGCGAATACTCCCCTCTTCACCTTCACCCTCTATTTCCTGACTTTGCCTGATTCCTGGCCTCCTCTTAGTGGCTGACACCGATTCTTTCAGCAGAGCCCTGTTCTGACCCACTCCATCACCGGAACCACCTTTGGGGGTTTCGGGAGCTGTCGGTCAGCGCGGCACACTCTGGGGTGGAACAGCGAACTAATCCGATTCAGGACGCCTTTACAGTTTCTATTTCTGTGAAGAGACACCATGACCACAGCACGGTGTCTTATAAAGAAAATATTTAATTGGGGTGGCTTGTTTACAGTTCAGAGGTCCAGTCCGTTATCATCATGACAGGGAGCATGGCAGCGTGCAGGCAGACGTGGTTCTGGAGCTGACAATGACAAGTCTTCACCAGAAGGCAGCAGGAAGTTGATTACCACATTCAGTGACACTGGAGAAGACCTCAACCCCGCCCCCACAGTAACACAGTTCATCCACAAGACCACGCCCATTCCAATAAGGCCACACCTCCAAACAGTGCTTCTCCTTTGGGGGGGAGGGTGCATTTTCTTTCAAACCAGCACACACGGTATTGCTCCCCAAAGAAACTGGTATCCTGGAATAAAAACAAACGGTTGTAAACTTCTGTTATGGCGCAGACATTGATGAGGGAGTAGTGGACCCGAGAGACAGGCAGCCTGTGTTATACTGCGGCCCAGTTCCATTCTGCACAGGGACCTTTTCCCACCATTATGACAGGGCTGGAGCCTCCCCTAGACCTCTTCCAAGCCGCCAGGCAGGATTTGGGCCTCACTCTAGGGTGTTCGTGGATGTCAGCAGCTCACTAGTCAGACATGTAGAACTTCCCACGAAAGTCAGAGGGCAGGGCCTGTGACAGTCAGTAGCGCTGGTGCAGTTCTTATAGATTCAGTTCATCTTCTTCCAAGCTAAAATCTGAGAGACATTCTTCCTCCCTTTGGCCAGGCTGAAGGCAGTTGACCTGCAGGATGAAGAAGGCCCACCAGGGCGGTGGAGAGGACACTCTGCGGTCACTCTGGGGTTGATATTCCCTAACCATGGTTCCCAACTCACTGCTGCGTGGGCTGATCCAGGATAGAATCTGTGATCTCTCCTAAACTTCTGCAGAGGGATTTGGGGGTGGGTAATTCAGCCAGAAAGTTTATATCAGAGTTGAGAGCCTTCCCACTGGCCTGGGAAAACATCTGCATACCACGCTGACTCAGGGGAATGGTTACCACGTCACAGAGATCCACCTCACAAAGCAACACAGAGAAGATGCCCAGCTGACTTCTGGAGCCGCTTTTCTAAGCTGTATTATGGTTTGCAGGAGAGGTGGCTCAGCAGTTAAGATCACGTGCTGCTCTTCCAGAGGTCCTGAGAGTGGTTTCCAGGACCCACAAAGTGTGGCTTGCAACCACTTGTTATTCTGGCTCCAAAGACCTGATGCTTCTGGTCTCCTGGGGCATCCACACTCATGTGCCCATAACCAACCATACCCGTGCCCTGACAAAGCTGGGCACACAGTGGCGTGTTTTAAAGTGGAAGTTATTCTGATAGTCCCCTCTCCATTGGTGAATCTACTGCACAAACTGATTCCAGAGTCCGAGGCCGATTGCTACCTCATACAGCCAGAGAGACGGACTTGTTTTCACTTTTTGTACTTTTTGGTTTACTTGTTTTTTATTATTTATTTAATTTATTTATTATATATACAATATTCTGTCTGTGTGTATGCCTGCAGGCCAGAAGAGGGCACCAGACCTCATTACAGATAGTTGCGAGCCACCATGTGGTTGCTGGGAATTGAACTCAGGACCTTTGGAAGAGCAGGCAATGCTCTTAACCACTGAGCCATCTCTCCAGCCCCGGTTTACTTGCCTTTAGACAGTGTCTCACTGTGTAGCCCTAGCTGTCCTGGAACTCACTCTATAGACCCAGGCTGGCCCCAAACTCACAGAAATCTGCCTGCCTCTGCCTCCTGAGTATTGAAATTAAATTTGCCATCACATAGGGCAAAGGCTAGACTTCTTTCTGGGAAGTGGTGGTGCACATCTTTAATCCTAGCACTTGGGAGGCAGAGGCAGGTAGATCTCTGTGAGTTCGAGGCCAACCTGGTCTACAGAGCTAGTTCCAGGACCGCCAGGGATACACAGTAAAACTGTTTAAAAAAAAAAAAAAGAGTAAATGAACACCACAGCCCAAGGGCTACTACTATCCTCACTACTTTCTCACTTTGCTGCAGACTGCCCTAACCTCTCTGGGTGACGCCGCCTTGCTGCTGACCAAGCTTCTGTTTGCCTTGTATCTCCACTGAATTCCTTCTAGGGAGAAAAGAGAGCCACGGAGAAACACTTGCCCAGGAGATCCCTGCTGAAGCTGAACTAAACTATTGCTCTCCATGGAGAAACTTTACTTTCTGAGATGGCGGCCACTCTACCTGTTCAAAGAAAATCACTTCAAAGTCCTGGGGTGCATTAGGTGATCAAAAATCCCCACGTGAAGCTGGGCAGTGGTGGCGCAATGCCTTTAATCCCAGCATTCGGGAGGCACAGGCAGGTGGATCTCTGTGAGTTCGAGGCCAACCTGGTATACAAGAGCTAGTTCCAGGACAGGATCCAAAGCCACAGAGAAACCCTGTCTCGAGAAAAACAAAAAACAAAAAATCCCCACAGAACATTCTCGAGGGACAGACACACGTTGGCCACTACTGCTGGAAAGGAATCGTCTATGTAATCGTGGCTGCTTCCTTGAGACAAAAATGGCAGCCTATCCTCTGTCATTTTTTGCTGAAGACATTCCTATAAGTCTGTCATTATATAACTGACTTATAGGAATGTCTTCACCAAAAAGAATCAAAAACAAGGGGCTGGAGAGATGGCTCAGTGGTTAAGAGCACTGCCTGCTCTTCCAAAGGTCCTGAGTTCAGTTCCCAGCAACCACATGGTGGCTCACAACCATCTGTAATGAGATCTGGTGCCCTCTTCTGGCCTGTAGACAGAATACTGAGAATACTGTATATAATAAATAAATCTTTAAAAAAAAAAAAAGAATCAAAAACAAAAAAATTATAGAAAGGTCTTCTTCTGGAGAGACGGGGGAATGCAGGGGTTTAAATACCACACCGTATTAGAGCCAGTTCCCTGGTGGCACACATCAGCGAACTGCCCTGTTCCGTGTGTTCTTGGGAGTCATGCAGAAAATTCTGGAGAGCCGGGCGGTGGTGGCGCACGCCTTTAATCCCAGCACTCGGGAGGCAGAGGCAGGCGGATCTCTGTGAGTTTGAGACCAGCCTGGTATACAAGAGCTAGTTCCAGGACAGGCTCCAAAAACCACAGAGAAACCCTGTCTTGAAAACCAAAAAAAAAAAAAAAAAAAAAAAAAAAAAAAAAATTCTGGAGAAACCACTGCTCACGCAGCCTGGCTTCCTGGAGCAGGAACCTCCCACCCATCCTGGGGCCACAGTTATAGTCAAGCTCTTAGTGACCTCAGTTCTCTTCAGACTCCACCCAAGGGGGCAGAGGACAGGACTAGTAGTTCAGGAAAAGCCCCCAAACTGCCTGTACTTCAATGCATTTCCTTGAGAATGCTGCACAGTGCAGTCCTGCTGCTGTGTGGGTCCTGACTACCCCAGCTAGGGACACCCAGGGCTCAGGTCCCCACGCACCTGGATTAAACTCTGCAGGTCTTCTTCACTTTCGGCATCGATGGACTCTTCACCGGGTCTGTACTCCACCGCGACCTTGCCACTTTCTGAAAGTGAGAGGCTCAATTCAGGGTTCTTTTTTTTTTTTTTTAATATTTATTTATTTATTATTTATACAGTATTCTGTCTGCTTGTATGCCTGCAGGCCAGAAGAGGGCACCAGACCCCATTACAGATGGTTGTGAGCCACCATGTGGTTGCTGGGAATTGAACTCAGGACCTTTGGAAGAGCAGGCAGTGCTCTTAACCACTGAGCCATCTCTCCAGCCCCTCAGGGTTCTTCTTGTTCTCAAACTTCCACATCAAACACAGTCGCACCAATGAGTGCTTACGGTCTCTAGAGGCTAGAGCATGTCTCCAGAGACGCCACATCTCACAGTGCAGTTATTAACAGAACCATCATTTCATTCACTCTAATGGTGTCCCCAGGAGATGGGGACACCCTCTAGCCTGAGATGGAGGGCAGCTTAGTAACCCTACATGTTTACAGGTCACTCTAGCTATGGCACAGGAAGTCAGTACGCAAACCCAAATGTCCAACACTCATCAACTCTCTTAGTGCCAGGCAAGCAAAGGAGCAGGGCCTGCAGTGACAATCGATACCCAAGGAACAAGAGCGTTTGCTGCCACTTTTCTCCTATACATGACAAAGAACCAACCCGAGACCAGCGCTGTGGGAGAGTCGCATGAATGAAAGCATAATCTGGAATGTTCCAGATAGCCGCATTTTCATACTGTTTGTATTTTAAAATGAACTTTCAGCTCGCCAAGATTCAAGCGCTCCGAATAACTGAGAGAGGCTCACCCAGAACCACGATGGCCAACTTCTGGAAGGCATCTGCCAAAGCGCTCTGGATTGCGAGCTTCTGCGCGGTCTTCCTCTTCATCAGAAACGAGGACTGTCCTGGAGCCAACCACACAGATGGATTTCACATACCTGAAAGGAGACTGCCGGGGGCTCTGTGTTTGCTGTAGAAGCACGAGGACCTGTGTTTGCATATGATGCCTGTGTAACAGCTGGGCCTGACCCTACACATGTCTGCAATCCCAGCAGTGAGTGGGGCCGAGACAGGGGGCTGCTATCTTCTAGCTGGCCACAAAGAAAGACAAGCGCCAGGTTCAGGGAGAGCCCTTACCTCGAATGAATAAAGAGGAGAGTACACCCAACACCTTCTTCTGGCTTCTGGGCTTACACACACAGGCCCACACACCTTATCTGCACACACACATTCGCATACACTACACACAAATGCATCATACACCAAAAATAAAAACATAAGTAAATACTTACACGGAATCATACACCAAAAATAAAAACATAAGTAAATACACGGATAGCAGTTATTCTTTGTTTAAAAAGAAAATTCACTTACGATTCCGTCTGAGATCACTGGGTAACTAAAGGTGCGCACAGCACGAGGAGCTGCCGAATGGCTCTGATGAGCGCACATAAGGACAGGGCCCATTATCTTACAGGCCTGGTGTGTTCTGAAGTTCCTCATGTAGTAACTATGGGGTCCAAATGAGGGACGGACACAAGGCTCCTATCACTGGCCAGTTCCAAAATGACAGACGGGTGCTGCAGCTCAGGGCTGGACTCACACCAGCCAGGTCAGGTGATGCTGTTGATGAATGGCCCTATCTATCCAGCAGTCTCAGGAGACCACCCCACACCCTCCACTAACACTTTATATTTGACTTGGACCCCTCATGCTGAGAACCATGAAGTCTAGAAAAACAAACAAACAAACTAGGGACTGGAGACGTGGCCCAGAGGTTAAGAGCACTGGCCATTTTTCCAGAGGTCCTGAGTTCAATTTCCAGAAACCACATGGTAGCTCACAACCATCTATAATTAGATCTGGTGCTCTCTTCTGGCTTCTAGGCAGAACACTGTATACATAATAAATAAATAAATCTTAAAAAAATCAATTGGAGTAGCTTTTCACATTGGCTTTTTTTGTCTGTTCGAGCCATTCCATTAGTAGGTAAAGGACTGAGTGTCTATACAGAAGTTTATGGCAATGTTAATAACAATAAATGATGTGTCTGTGTGTGTTTCTCTGTGTCACTAGTACAGGTGCCTGAGGAGAAGAGAGGCGTGAGACCCTACTGGATCTGCAGTGACAGGTGGGTTCAGCCACCTGACGTGGGTCCTTTGCAAGAGCAGTCTGTTCTCTTACACTCTGAGCCACTTCTGCTGGGACAGCTGAAGGCTGAGATAAAAAACTCTGACCAATTATTTCAACACAAAGCAAGTCCTTAACCAAAAACAACAGGCATAGGAGTTCCTGCCTCCCCTAACCTCAGGACAGGAGGGCAGTTCTACGGTGAATGTAAGGGTTTTGTCAGGCACGTGCTTACGTGAAAATCTACATTATAAGGCATAAAAATTCTGCCTAGGACTTCAGTAGTTTGGCGATGAAAGGGCCTGACTAGTAGCTGACAGAGTGAAGAGATGGAAGAAAAGACAGAAGGACAGAGAGACACACTCCTGCCGCCCTCCCTCCGCTTAGAACAGACCTTCCTCCTCCGGCTGGTGCAGAGGCTCCTCAGTGATGCCGACTCCGGGGCTCTTGCACCCGTAGGGCGGCAGAACCACCTCTACAGCACAGAAGAACTTGAGGCTCCGCTTCTGCACAGGCCCCGTGAGAGCCCCGTCCTCCGCTCCAGAGAGCTCCTGCAGCTGGGAGAGGTTGGATTCAAGCCCTTCTAGGATTTCGTTACCTCTGAGACCCAAACCCAAGGTTTCACCGCTGCTAGGCCAGCTCTCCACCACTCAGCCCCAGCCCCACCTTGCCTAAGATTCCAATGGAGAAACATAAAAAATAAATCCCAGGTCCCAGCTCCCAGCTGGAGCATTCTAGAGCTTCCAGAGCAAGTAAGATCTGCAGAAGAATGCCATTTCAGGCAGTCAAGTCTTACTAAACACACAGACTACTAGGGAAACCATGGACTCCATCAGCCAGTGAACTGGGAAGGGTTTTCCTAACTCTCAGACACATCCACCTATCCTCACCCTTGCTGGCCCCTGACGTCCTCCCCGAAATCTAGGATTCTAATGCGGAAGGAGAGCCACTTACCCTGATGATCCTTTTTGACCATCCATTGAAGCCAAAGTAGTAATTCGCCAATTCTTGGCACCGTGAGCTGTTTAGGGCAAAGGTCCGGTGCCGCAGTGCTTTCTGTCTGGTGCTGAGACGAACCTGCAGTCAGGAGAGACCCAGAAATTGCACAGCCTGCAGAGTCTAACTTGGAGATACCTGAGGTCAATCAGTTCCAGCTCCATAAGTGACAGTGAGGGTCAGGTGGATGGAAGGATGGCCTCAGTCCTGCATCAGAGTGAGCCCCAAGGGCTGGAGAGATGGCTCAGAGGTTAAGAGCACTGGCTGCTCTTCCAGAGGTCCTGAGTTCAGTTCCCAGCAACCACATGGTGGCTCACAACCATCTGTAATGAGATCTGGCGCCCTCTTCTGGTGTGTGTGCAGGCATGCAGGCTAAATAAATAAATATTAAAACAAAAAACAAAGTGAGCCCCAAACACGTGCTATCTGCCCATCCAAGCCTCAGTGCTGTCCTCCGTCATTTTTAGGATCCCTGGTTAAGTGGCAGTTTGCCCTGGGAGCTGGAGATAAAGCCCAGTTGGTGGGGTGTTTGCTTGGCATACAGGAAGTCCATGGTTCAAGCCTGAGCACTGGTGAACTGGGTGTAGAGCAGAAGGAAATAACTAAGAAGCCCTGCAGAAAGAGTCAGGTTGTGAGCTAGCAAGGATATTGTTCCGGGTTTCCCATCTAGTCGTTGCTGCTTGAGATTATGACCCAAGAACACGGAGATGAGATGAACCTTCAGCCACCCAGCTCCAAGTCAACAACCCCTGTTACAAGTTGGGCACCTAGATACAGGGTTGGGTACTGTGATCACAGGTGAATCACACGCATGCCTGGTGCCCAGGCTGAAAGGGAATATGGAATCCCTAGGAACTGTAGTTACTAGAAGCGATTACGAGCCATTATGTGTATGCTGAGAATCAAACTTGGGACCTCCGGAAGAGCAGGCAGTGCTCTTAGTGACTGAGCCATCTCTCCAGCCCCGGTATCTTAACTGTTATTTCCTTCACCACTCTATCAAAACCTAAGGCTTATGAAATGGTGTCATTGTCCCAAGGGCACTGGAAACTCGTGCTTTGTAATCTTCCCAGCACCACATACAATATCTACCTGAGACATGGTCACAGGCTGAAAACAAAGTCCAATAATTAAAGGACGACTGACAGGCAATCACTTCAGTGCTCGGAAGAGGATGATCTAGGAGAGAAGAGGGTCTTGAACAGTGTACAGAGTAGAGATAATACGCTTGGAATCACTACTGACTAGAATTCTCCGATTCAATCAAGTGGAGGAGGAAAGCAATAGGGACGAGAGTAGACCAGACCATGGGTCAGCAGCAAGTAGGCAGATCAAGGAGCCAGTAGCACAGGTAGTGGAAATGAGATGTTGTCCTGCGGCTCTGGGCAAGCTACGTGGTTTGCTGTTAATATTGAGTGGAGGTTAATAAGGATGCTTCTAGAACCTGAGGGGGTTCTGGACAGGCTGTTTGAGAATAAAGACAATCAAGCATCCGTCATGTTACAGCTATCCGTTTATCAAACTCACATTTTAAATCCAAATAAAATAGAAAACGCTTATGAATATCTCTTAAATTTTAGGGCAACAAAACGACGAGGGATTTTCATCGTTACATTTGGGTTTGATCAGTTACTATCATGATGAACCTTGTATTACCAGCCATCCCGAGTTTGAGTTTCTTCATCTAGGAATGCCTGGAGGCTCAGCGAAAACGCACCTGGAAGCTCCCTGTAAAACCAGAGAGCCGCACAAACGCTAGCTCGCTGTGGTTCTGGGAACTTCATTCCAGACCCCGCATTTGCACCCACCTTCACGGGCGAAGTCTGAAAAAGAGGCTTCCCGTCACATGCCTTTTGGGCTTTCTGCGCGTCCCTCGATGAGTAAAACTTGATGATGGCATAGAAACCAGGGCGAGCCACGGCAGCGTTCGGGAAGACTCGGACTGAATACAGAAGGCCAAACTGGGAGAACACTGCGGACAGAGAATGCTGTGGGAGGCCCACGACGTGAGTGCTCATCTCCAGTCACCGAGAAAACCCAGCTCCCACGAGTCCCCGCAGGAACAAGGGCTTCCTCAGAGGAGACAAGCGCGGGTGGCTAAGGGTGCACGCTTGGCTCACCAACAACCGGGTCCCCCTCCGTGCGGGTCCCCGTCCGGTTCCCTCCTCCTTTCCCTCCGCGCGGCCACTCACAATTAAGGCCTCAGCTGGGGGACCGGCGCTTAGCTCCCACACCAACAAAACTTTGTCACTCTGGGTGGGAACAGCGAAAGAAATCAACTCCGCCATGGTAAAGCCACTGCGCCTGCGCAAGGAACTACCGCGAACTTCCAATTAGGAGTAGCACAGAAGGGGCGGCGCTAGATGAGGACGGGGCGGAGCCCAGCCTCCACGGCTTTCGCTTTCCTAAAATTTAACACAGAGCAGGTATTTCAGTGCCAGTCCTTACACATATTTGGACACACCCTACTGGGTCTACGTGACATTTTGTTTTTTGTTTTTCGAGACAGGGTTTCTCTGTAGTTTGGGAGCCTGTTCAGGAACTAGCTCTTGTAGACCAGGCTGGGCTTGAACTCACAAAGATCCGCCTGCCTCTGCCTCCTGAATGCTGGGGATTAAAGGCGTGAGCATCTTTAAATGAACAACGTTAAAACTTATTCTCACATGTGCAATGTCGCTTAATACAATTACCATTATGTACCTAGGCACCAAGCTTAAAGACAAAATCAATCCCGTTTAACCATAACCACTTTAGAAGCAAAGAGTTTAAAATCAGTTACTTTTGTAGAGACCAGATTCCTTAACAAAGCCCCTAGCCTCCCATGTTATTAATTGACTGATTTTATACATACTGCTTACAACAAACAGGATCATACAACAGAAAAATCCTCGCTGCAGTCTCAGAACCTAGAAAACCCGCCAAGAGGAGCAAGCATATTAACTGTCACTATTACAAAACCCAGGCCACTTATTCTCACTTTTGAACCGCTCGATGTACCCCGAAGGGATGCACCGTTCCTGGAGGTACTGCAATACCAGGTCGATGCGTGGAGTGGACGGAGCAAGCTCCTATTCCAACTCCTAGTTTCAAAAATCCATTTAATATATTGTCCTCGGATAGAGGACGTATCAGATATTAAACTGATAAGAACAGATACTACACTTGATCTTAGCCAAAAGGCCGAGAAGCGATACCTCCTCAAGCACACGGGCCCGCTACACTCACCTGCGCGCACACATTTACATTGCGGTCATCCACGCTCACGCGCCCTCGGACACGCGCTCTCGGACACGCGCCCGACACCGACTCTCCTGCTCTATCCTGACACCGCCTCGTTTCCAGGGAAACCCTGTGAGATCGCGTGGGCCGAGGAGTTTTCGTTGTCCTCTTCGCTCCCAGAGTTCCTGGGAGCCGCGGCCACGGCCTCATTTGCATGCCCCGCCCAGTACGCGGTCTGTCTCTGCACTGCAGAAGGCCCGGGTGAACGCTGGTCTCTCTCAGCTTTTCTACCAGGTTCTTTGCAATCTTTCAGACACAGAATTGGCAGTAGCCACCACAAGAAGTACTCTCACTCTTTCTCATTTCCCTTTCCATTTCCTGTCCCCCTCACTTTATATATGGTTCAGAGTGTTTTGTTGTGAAGTGGCAAGATCAACAATGGGTTTGGGTAGGGCTTCGATGGTGAGTATAACCCTCGGAGAATACACACTTTGACCAGCTCAAGGGATAGCAGGATTCTTGAGTAAACGGGCCTTTCGATTTCCAGCATATATATGTATGTATATATGTAAACCTTAAGTTCCAGGGGAGCTAACCGAAACACACACATACAGAAAAAACATTAATACATATAATATATAAATCTAAAATATACTAAATATAAAATATAAATTGAAAGACCCGGATAAATCCAGACCTTCCCTGGGGTGGGGTCGCCAATTGGCAGGCTTTCTTGGAGGTGGAGTTTGGACTGAGGCAACCCCCAGGGAAGGGAGCTTTAAAATGAAACTTTCTGCCTAACATTGCAAAAACGGATGCCAGGGGGCTGTAGTGAAGCCCCCTAACTAAACAATCCCAGACTCTTTGTATAAAGGGGTGCCAGGGAGCTGAGGATGCTTTTAACCAAACAACTCTGAGGAACCCTGTCTCAAAAAAACAAACACAAAACCGAAACAAATAAACAAACAAAAAAAGAGTAGGACACAGTCGCGTGCTGAGTTAGAGAAACAAATTTGCAGAGAGATGTGTGCCCTGTTCTGAGATGAGTTTGGGAGTGACAAGCTGGAGATAGGTGTCAGACAGCCACGGTCAAATGACAGTTAAATAGTCATGCTGGGATGAGACCTGTCTGCAGATTTTTTTTTTTGTGTCCCCGTAGCTCCCAAATAAATGACAGAGACGTCTTATGAATTAAGAAAGCTCGGCCAATAGCTTAGGCTGGTTTCTAACTGGTTCTTATAACTTCAACTGCCCATTTCTATTCATTTACATTCTGTCTCATGATTTTGTTACCTCATCTCCACGTGGCCCAGCCTGCTTGCCTTGCATCTCATGGCGTCTCTGCCTTCTTCCCAGTGTTCGCTCTGCCCTGAAAATCCTGCCTAGCTATTGGCCACTTAGCGTTTTATCAAACCAATCACAATGACGTATTTTCACACAGTGTAAAGAAATATTGCGCAACAGTGGGGACACTTTTTTCCTGTTAGTGGCACTAGAGATTGAAGCCAAGGTTTTGCACATTCTAGGCAAGAGTTCTACCACGGAGCTATGCCTTTGGCCTTTCTTAATACTTAGAAAGAGGGCCTGGCTAAGTTGCCTAGGACCTGAACTTGTGATTTTCCTGCCTCAGCTTCCAAAGTACTTAGAATTACACCCATGGGTCACTGTGCCCTGCTGGGAGTTTCTTACAACATGTTAATAGCTTGTAGCCAGAGACCACCAGGAACCTACCTACAGTGAAGCAAATTCGGCTTTTCCTTGGGGCACCTTGGTGAGACTGTGTTAGGAACAACTTGGCATGTGGTCTTGTGACAGGTGCTTTAAAGACAGAAGGAAGTAAGGCCTTCCTTTGAACAGGGTGCTCTTCTTAAGAAGTGGGGTCTAACTGGGCGGTGGTGGCGCACGCCTTTAATCCCAGCACTCAGAAGGCAGGGGCAGGAGGATCTCTGTGAGCTCGAGGCCAGCCTGGTCTATAGAGTGAGTTCCAGGACAAGCTCCAAAGCTACAGAGAAACCCTGTCTCAAAAAAACAAAACAAAAAAAGAAGTGGGGTCTGTGCGTCCTTGCAAGTGTCTGAATAGGTAACACAGAGATCTCCCACAGAGGAGGGGAGAGGAGAGCAAGGACAAGGTCACAGTCATTAAAACGGTAGCCCTCACAGGTGAACGCCAAAGCAGCTTCCAGGGCTTCTTCCACCATTTCCAAATGCAAGACACATGTTGAGAGCTTTTCCTGGGTCTCAGGAGAATGATTCCCCTCCCCAGGACATCTCCTTCCCCAGGACAGGATCTCACTAGGTAGTCCTGGCTGGCCTAGAACTTGCTATGTAGACCAGGCTGGCCTGGAATGAACAGAGATCCACTCTGCCTTCAATAAGAATTAAGTATACAGTGGTCTGCCTGCATGCATATGTGCAGGCCAGAAGAGGGCACCAGACCCCACTACAGATGGTTGTGAGCCACCATGTGGTTGCTGGGAATTGAACTCAGGACCTTTGGAAGAGCAGGCAGTGCTCTTAACCACTGAGCCGTCTCTCCAGCCCTCAGTAGGAATTCTTTTGACCATATAAAAACCATGTAAATAAGGAAATGGGATTATAGCAGGCTCCCTTAATAGTATGTGAAACCAAGCGGGGCACTGTCTACCAGCCCGGCTTACATAGCAAGTTCCAGGACAGCAAGGACTACATAGACCTTGTCTCAGCCAAACCAAAGGATGTGAAACAATCATGATGGCACCCTTCAGCTGTGTCACCGAAAAAACGAAGTCATCTTTCTAGAGGGTGAACAGAAAGACAAAAGACCATTTTCTTACTCAGATTATTGTTTTTGTACAACACACACACACACACAAAAACCCACAAAAGACAATGTGGTGGGCATCTTTAATCCCAGCACTCAGGAGGCTGTGTCAGGCAGATCTCTCTGAACTCCAGACCAGCCTGGGCTACCTAGCCAAGTTTCAGGCTGGCCAAGCTACACAGTGAGCCTAGTCTCAAAAACCAAAGCCAGTTGTTTGTGCTGCCAGCACTCCTGCAAATATCGCGAACATCCCTGTGTCTTACATTGACTCTCTGCAAGAAATGCGGCAAGCAGCAGCTCTGCAAAGTGACACCATATGCGAAGGGCAGAGATTCTCTGTGTGCGGGGAAAGCGGTGTCATGGCAGGAGAGAGAGGCTGCGGTGGAACAGAAAGGCTGAGGCAACGAAGAGGGGAAGAGGGCCGTGCTGAGGCGCAAGCGTTCGAGCCCAGGTGCAGATCTCACGGTGCTGGCTGGTTAGAGGTGCATTTGGACCTGGGAGGCTGGACAAAGAGAAGGGGCCAAGCGAGCGATGCAGCTCTAAGTGGGCTTTGCTACAGCGAGACTGAAACCATGAACCGCTACTCAAAGAGCAAACAGACACAGAAATTTCAGGCTGTGCATCGTGTTCAGGCCTGTAATCCTAGCACTCAGGAGTGGAAGATTAGCTAGAGTTCAAGGCCAGCACAGAGAGAGAAGCAGCCAACAGAACTAAATAGTAAGGCTCTGTCTTTAAAAAAAAAAAAAATCATAAATTTTGTTTTTGACTTGCGATGGAGTGTTAGTTGAGGGAAGTTTCCCAGGTGCTGGGATTACTGGCCTGCTCCACCATGCTTGGCAGAATTAAAAATATTTCAGTTGTGGGTACTGGGAGATGATGGGTCAGCAGTTCTACAGCCGGGTGGTGGCGCACGCCTTTAATCCCTGCACTTGGGAGGCAAAGACAGGAGGATCTCTGTGAGTTCGAGGCCAGTCTGGTCTACAAGAGCTAGTTCCAGGACAAAACTATAGAGAAAATTTGTCTGGAGGCGGGAGGGGGGAGAGGGGGGGATAACAAAAGCTCAAGAATGTATTTCAGATATTGTTAGTCAACACCCACAGTGGCAGGGGAAATAAAATCGAAACCATTATCAGGAAGTGGGTGTGACGGACAGACAGCTGCAGCCTAGACTGGGACTGTGAGAGAGATCACATAAAGCAAGGGTCTCCATTCAAACACTGGAGTAGGGGCTCAGCAGAACTCAGAACTGTCAGAAGCTTAGAGGGGAAAAGCTCCTTTGGCTTCTACATTTGGAGTATTTGAGGATAAGAAGAGCTGGGATTTCAGAAATGTATTTGAAATCTGGAATCAGATTTAGAGTTTTGTGGTTCCGGGTTTAGGCATGACCATCAGTGAGCATCCCTGCTTTGGGAGGATGGCTCAGATTTCATGGATAGGGACTTTTACATCCTGAGAACAATGGAAATATGGGGTGTCTAGTGCTATGGCTCAATAGTAGAATGTGTCCCTGGAATACATGGGGGACAGAGATCAACGAAGTAAATCCATACTTTTCATTTTTGTTTTTTTTTTAAATTATACCTTTATTTTTATTGCATAAATGTTTTACCTTCATGTATGTTTGCCACATGTGTGCCTGGTCCCTGTGGAGCTCAGAAGAGGACATCAGATCCTTTGGAGCAGGCATTACAGGTGGCTGTGAGCCACTGTGTGGGTCCTGGGAACGAAGACCCGGTGAAGATTCACTGTGGCGTGACCCTGGCAGGTCCCCTGGCAGATGGGAGACCACGGTGATGAGTGAGAGGCAGTTCTGCATTGTGGAGAGAGCTTGGGTATAGAGTTTAATGGGTAAGGGGATTGTGGAGGGAAGGGAGAAACAGAGAGAGGAAAGGGAAAAGGAGAAGCGAGAGGTAATGGTTACCTCTTCAGGAAGGACAGAGAGAGAAGATGGAGAGGAGGAAGAGATCAGCTTGCTGGAGTGGCAAGGTGTGTGTGTGTGTGTGTGTGTGTGTGTGTGTGTGTGTGTAGAGGGGGGGATTGGGAGTGGGCGGAGCTTGTCTCTTAAAGGGACTGGATACCAGGTGACAGGGAAGGTCAGCAAAATGATAATACCAGGTCTTCTGGAAGAGCAGTCAATGCTCTTAACCAATGAGCCATCTCTCCAGACCCTGCATTTTATTTTTATTTTTTTTTTGAGACAAAGTTTCTCTCTGTAATTCTGGCTGTCCTGGAATTCGATTTGTAGCTCAGGCTGCCCTTAAACATACCTGCCTCT